CCAGACTACAGAGCTTCATTATACACTACGAGGTTTCCTCACAAGACTACAGAGCTTCATTATACACTACGAGGTTTCCTCACCAGACTACAGAGCTTCATTATACACTACAACGTTTCCTCGTCAGACTACAGAGCTTCATTATACACTACGAGGTTTCCTCACCAGACTACAGAGCTTCATTATACACTAAGAGGTTTCCTCACCAGTCTACAGAGCTTCATTATACACTACGAGGTTTCCTCACAAGACTACTGAGCTTCATTATACACTACAAAGTTTCCTCACCAGACTACAGAGCTTCATTATACTCTACAAGGTTTCCTCGCCAGACTACAGAGCTTCATTATACACTGCAAGGATTCCTCGCCAGACTACAGAGCTTCATTATACACTACGAGGTTTCCTCGCCAGACTACAGAGCTTCAGTATACACTACGAGGTTTCCTCGCGAGACTACAGAGCTTCAGTATACACTACGAGGTTTCCTCACCAGACTACAGAGCTTCAGTATACACTACGAGGTTTCCTCACCAGACTACAGAGCTTCATTATACACTACGAGGCTTCCTCACCAGACTACAGAGCTTCAGTATACACTACGAGGTTTCCTGGCCAGACTACAGAGCTTCAGTATACACTACAAGGTTTCCTCACCAGACTAGAGAGCTTCATTATACACTACGAGGTTTCCTCACAAGACTACAGAGCTTCATTATACACTACAAGGTTTCCTCGCCAGACTACAGAGCTTCATTATACACTACAAGGTTTCCTCGCCAGACTAGAGAGCTTCAGTATACACTACGAGGTTTCCTCGCCAGACTACAGAGCTTCATTATACACTACAAGGTTTCCTCGCCAGACTACAGAGCGTCATTATACACTACGAGGTTTCCTCACCAGACTACAGAGCTTCATTATACACTACGAGGTTTCCTCGCCAGACTACAGAGCTTCATTATACACTACGAGGTTTCCTCACCAGACTACAGAGCTTCAGTATACACTACAAGGTTTCCTCGCCAGACTACAGAGCTTCAGTATACACTACAAGGTTTCCTCACCAGACTACAGAGATTCATTATACACTACGAGGTTTCCTCACCAGACTACAGAGCTTCATTATACACTACGAGGTTTCCTCACCAGACTACAGAGCTTCATTATACACTACGAGGTTTCCTCGCCAGACTACAGAGCTTCATTATACACTACGAGGTTTCCTCACCAGACTAGAGAGCTTCAGTATACACTACAAGGTTTCCTCGCCAGACAACAGAGCTTCAGTATACACTACAAGGTTTCCTCACCAGACTACAGAGATTCATTATACACTACGAGGTTTCCTCGCCAGACTACAGAGCTTCATTATACACTACGAGGTTTCCTCACCAGACTACAGAGCTTCAGTATACACTACAAGGTTTCCTCACCAGACTACAGAGCTTCAGTATACACTACAAGGTTTCCTCACCAGACTAGAGAGCTTCAGTATACACTACAAGGTTTCCTCGCCAGACTACAGAGCTTCAGTATACACTACAAGGTTTCCTCGCCAGACTACAGAGCTTCATTATACACTACAAGGTTTCCTCGCCAGACTACAGAGCTTCATTATACACTACAAGGTTTCCTCGCCAGACTACAGAGCTTCGGTATACACTACAAGGTTTCCTCGCCAGACTACAGAGCTTCATTATACACTACAAGGTTTCCTCGCCAGACTACAGAGCTTCAGTATACACTACAAGGTTTCCTCGCCAGACTACAGAGCTTCATTATACACTACAAGGTTTCCTCGCCAGACTACAGAGCTTCAGTATACACTACAAGGTTTCCTCGCCAGACTACAGAGCTTCATTATACACTACAAGGTTTCCTCGCCAGACTACAGAGCTTCATTATACACTACAAGGTTTCCTCGCCAGACTACAGAGCTTCGGTATACACTACGAGGTTTCCTCGCCAGACTACAGAGCTTCATTATACACTACAAGGTTTCCTCGCCAGACTACAGAGCTTCATTATACACTACGAGGTTTCCTCACCAGACTACAGAGCTTCATTATACACTACGAGGTTTCCTCACTAGACTACAGAGCTTCATTATACACTACGAGGTTTCCTCGCCAGACTACAGAGCTTCATTATACACTACAAGGTTTCCTCGCCAGACTACAGAGCTTCATTATACACTACAAGGTTTCCTCGCCAGACCGCATAACTTCCTCGTAGACTCTACCTTCTGTCTTTTATATATATATATATATATATATATATATATATATATATATATATATATATATATATATATATATATATAATATATATATATATATATATATATGTCGTGCCGAATATGTAAAACTGGTCAATTAGCAAGAACTCATTTAAAATTAAGTCCTTTCCAAAATTTTCTCTTATACGTTTAAAGATATATTTTTTCATTAATGTTAATGTAAAAAAAAATAATTTTTCACCAAAAGAATCTTAGAAAACTTACCTAACCTTATTATAACAAAATCAATTTATTTTAGCCTAACCCAACTAAATATATTTTAGATTTGTTTACAATAATTTAATACTAAACAAACACAGTGAAATATATTTT